AATGAACTTTTCTTCTTAGAATTGCCTTCATAGTGTTTCAGAGATTTCAATATGTTGTATCTGTGTTCTCATTCACCTCTAAACATTTTTTAATCTCCTCCTTGATATCTTCTGCAACCCATTGTTTATTCAGTAGCATATTATTTAGTTTCCAGGTGTTGTAGTAGCTTTTATTTCTTATGTTATCATTGATTTCTAATTTCATTCCATATGATCTGATATAATGCAGGGTAGTATTTTATATTTGCTAAGAGTTGCTTTGTGGCATAATATATGGTCTATTTTAGAGAAGGATCCATGTACTGCTGAGAAGAAAGTGTATTCACTTGTTGAAGGATGAAATATTCTATATATGTCAGTTAAATTTAAGTTATTGATTGTATTTTTGAGTAGTGAAAGAAGTGTGTTAAGGTCACTCAAAATTATTGTGTTGTGGTCTATTTGACTCTTTAGCTTGAGAAGAGTTTGTTTGATGAACATAGATGCTCCATTGTTGGGGCATATATATTTATAATTGTTATGTCTTGGTGTATGGTTCCCTTGAGCAGTATGTAGTGTCCTTCTTTGTCCCTTTTGATTGACTTTAGCTTGAGGTCTACTTTACTTGATACGAGGATGGAAATTTCTGCTTGCTTCCACAGTCCATCTGAGTGGTATGATTTTTCCTAACCTTTCACCTTCAGTCTATGGATGTCTTTTCCTATGAGATGAGTCTCTTGGAGGCAGCATATTATTGGGTCTTTTTTTAATCCAATCTGCCAGTCTGTCTTTTAATTGATGAGTTTAGGTCATTAACATTCAGGGTTATTATTGGATTATTTGTATTCCCAGCCATTTTTATTTATTTTTGGTATTTAACTTGACTTGGTTTCCCCTCTGATTAGTTTTTCCTTTAGTGTAATCTCTTCCTCTGCTGATTTTCATCATTGTTTTCCATTTCCTCTTCATGTTTCTTTTGTTTTAATTTTTTTTTTTTTTACTTTTTTGTTTTAGTTTCATCCTGGTTTTGGAATCAGGGTGATATTGGCCTCATAGAATGAGTTTGGAATTACTCCTCTTTTTCTATTTCCTGAAATAAATTGAAGAGTATGGAATATTTTGCCAAGGATGTTCTGTAGTGCAGGCTTTCTAGTTGTAAATTCTTTTAACTTTTGTTTATCATGGAAGGTTTTTATTTTATCATCAAGTCTAAAGCTTAGTTTTGCTGGATATAATATTCTTGGTTGGCATCCATTTTCTTTCAGAGCTTGGTATATGTTGTTCCATGATCTCCTGGCGTTGAGGGTCGTGGTTGACAAATCTGCTGAGATAATAGGAATTGGTTTCCCCCTATACGTGATCTGATTCCTCTCTCTTGCAGCTTTTAAATTCTATCCTTATTCTGTATGCTAGGCATTTTCATTATAATGTGCCTTGGTGTAGATCTGTTGTAATTTTGCCAATTTGGTGTCCTGTAAGCCCCTTGTATTTGATTTTCCAATTTATTCATATTTGGGAAATTTTCTGATATTATTTCATTGAAGAGATTGTGCATTCCTTTGGTTTGAAACTCTGTGCCTTCCTCTATCCCAATTACTCTTAGATTTGTTCTTTTGATGCTGTCACATAATTCTTGGATGTTCTGCTCATGGTTTCTTACTATCTTCACTGGGTGGTCAACTTTATTATCCAGATTGTATATTTTGTCTTCATTATCTTATGTTCTTTCTTCCAAGTGATCTACTCTGTTGGTTATGCTTTCTTTTGAGTTTTTTATTTGGTTTATTGTTTCCTTCATTTCAAGGATTTTTTTTTCAGAGTCTCTATGTCTTGAAGTCATCTTTTGCTACTGTATTTGCTCTCTTACCTCTTTGTTGGAGTGATCAGTTTTTGCTCATTTAGGTCATTCTTTAATTCACAGATCATTTTAATTATGAACCTTCTGAACTCCTTCTCTGACATTTCATCAACTTTGCTGTCCAAAGGTTCTGTTATTATAGTGTCCTGGCTTGTTTGGGACACTTTCCTCCCTTGTTTTTTCATGTTGTCTATGTATCTTCCTTTCTTGCAGAGTGGATCTGAGATCTTACAGTTTCTACCCTATATTCTTGTAGTACCCATGCAGATTGTCTGTACCTCACCTTGATGTTGGGCTCCCAGTCCCTGCTGGTGTCCCTCAATGTATGCTACTGCAACTAAAGATGGTGGCAGCAATAGCTGAAGTAACTCGAGATAATAGTTGAGATGCCCCAAGATGGATGCAGTGTCTTACAGAGATGGGTCTGAAATGGTGGGCTTTATACTGACTTTGGGATGCCTACTCTGAGATGCAGCTGCTTCTAGGCCCTGTCTTTTGTCAAAATGTAGGGGCTACTTCATCGGGAACGCTATGGTGGTGTCTGCAGTATCCCAGGATGAAGTGGGTTAGGCTTGGGCTCCAGGTGGGAAGGGGTGAACTTGGACCTACCCTGGGCCTGGATCCCACATATTCTATGGTGGTCTTCTGGCCATAAGAGGTGGTCCTGTGCCAGAGCTTGAGCTCCTGCGGGTGTCTGCTGGTGGCAGGATAGACCCGGATCTACTATGAGCCTGGGTCCCACACACAGGGTCGGTGTGGGAGGATGTGGGCCGGGGCTAGGCCCTCCCCAGCCCTTTTTAATTATTTATTTTTTTTTGAGACAGGGTCTTGCTAAGTTGCTTAAGGCTAGCTCATTACCTATTCTTGTGTCAATCCTCAGGTTCAATGTCAGAGGATATTCCTTGATTATCCCTGTAACTTATATCCCTTCACTGTATCTTAAAGTAACTTCTTTTTTTAAATGTAGATGAGTGGTTCTCAATTGAGGATAATTTCATGTTTTGACATTTGACAATATTTGGTGATACATTTTGGCCAAGAATAATGCTGACCTATTATGCCAAGGACAGCATTAAAGAATGATCTAAACTGTCAGTAATACTGAGTTGATCAACGCTGCTTTAGTTCATATACAATGAATTAGATATATAGATGTGTTTGGATGTTCAACATCTGTCTTTTCTAGTAGACTTCATAATCCATAGGCATGAGATAATGTCTATTTTGTTTACACTTAGTATCTAGTATCTCAGTGCCTGATGCCAGTTAGGTGGACAACAAATATTTGTTAAATAAAGGTTGAAATAATGGGCAGGAGGAAAGAAGAAAGGGAAAGCCCTTTGTAAGGAAGGTATACAAACATTTCAGGGTATAGAAGATACTGTCAATGTCCTGCCTGTATTTCACACAGCCTGTGCCATTTAAGTGCATATTTTCCTGACTTTCAAATGTCAGAACCTGTATTTCTTTGTATGAGGCCTTTTACTAGGTCAACAAAACCCACTCTAAGAATATGACATCCCAAAATGATGGGGCATTGTCTGCTTCTAGAGGGTCTATTTTCTATAGTGTTCCCTGAAGTTCTTCAGTAACATTAGTCTGTTTAATAATAAGCACTTTGTTAGTCTCCTTCTTTTCTCTGTCTCAATACCTCACTCCCTTGCCAGAGTTTCCTGGAACAGTTCACGTGGTGGGCTGAATAACGACGCCCCCCAGATGTCTAGATTCTTGCTCTTATAAATGATACCACATGTGGCAAAAGAATTCAGAGGTACAGTTAAAGTTGTTGAGATGGGAGAAATGTTCTACAATCAGATAGAACCTAAATGCAATCACACATGTCCACATAAAAGGGAGGTCCAGGTAGATTTGATGCAGAAGGAAATATGGCCACTGAAGCAAGATGCTAATGATTCTGGCTTTGAATTATGGCATCCATAGGAAACTAATGTATCTTTTGGTACTGGATATATGTTACTGCTCTAAGAAATATCTAAAACCACACAAGTACCTTTGGAATTGAATAATGGCTGAGCACAGTAAAGAAAGCCAATATTGTCTTAGAGAATTCCTAAACTATCATACCCAGACAATTGATACATGAATATATGAATTTGATAGGTGTTGTGAGTAAAGGCTTAGAAGGAAATCAGGAACAAAATATTGGAAACTGAAGAGGGGACGGGTGTCCTATCAGTGTTCGGCCCAGACTAGTGCGCAGAAATCTTAGCTGAATTGTACCCAACAATTATGTGAAAAGTAGGACTTCAAAGTGGTGAATTTGGATTCAAATCCCTGGTACCAATAAAAAAGAACAGAGGTGCAAAACTGTGTGGCCATTCACTTAAGGGAAAGAAGATAACTTTGGAGGCAGATCTTAGTGCCTGAAGGCCAGAGCTATAGCCCCATGTGAAGTTATAGGGTACAGGATCAGAGGAAAAGAGTCTTATGCCACAGAAGATTATGGCCAGGCCTTGAAACCTAATGGAGTTTTACACAGTTGAGTCTTAAAAAATTGCTTGGATTGGAGATTCCTTTCTTCCCTCTACTTTCTCTCTTTTGGAATGGGAAAGTTAATGGCTATAAATGAGCCAAAGCATAAGAAAAAAAAGTAGCTGGGCATGGTAGCACCTGCCTGTAATCTCAGTGACTTGGGAGGCTGAGACAGGAGGATCATAAGTTCAAGGCCAGCCTTCGAAACTTAGTGAGGCCCTAAGCAACTTAGTGAGACCCTGTCTCAAAATAAAAAATAAAAAGGACCGGGAGTTTGGCTTAGTAGATAAGCGACCCTGGGTTCAATCCCTGGTACCAAAAAATAAAAATCAAATAAAACAAAAATAAATTTAAAAAGCAGAAACACAAGATTAATGGAGAAGAAAATTAAAATGGAAGATTAAAAAAAAAGAAGAAGCAACATCTCTTAGTACCTTGGTGTTACCTAGGAAAGTCAAGAAAGACACATCTGGACTAAAACTAAGCACGGGGTACACTTCTCTATCAGCAATGTTTACCTGGCTCTGAGATGGGTAGACATTTTGTTTTCAAACAGGATAAATTCATGACCCTTATAGAGATGTGGAATGAGCGTGTATTAAAAGAGGAAGATGGTGATGAAAGAGAATCCAGAAAAATAGACATAGGAATACTGATCAGGCATGTTTAATGTGTAGATACAGGAAACTAAGAGAAGGTTGTAAAAGCCCTCAAAGAGAATAAAAAGGCTAGAATCAGATAAACTGGAGTGGTATCCTATAAGCAGGGCAACATTTTCCACTGAAGCACACATTTATTTCTACAGTATTAAGAATTCCCTAAAAATCATTAGAGTGACCAGGTTCCTGTGATACGCATTTCTAGCCTGAGGCCTCCTAAGGGCCTGGTGGGCAGCCATGACGCTTCAAAGCCAAGGATGTCACAAAGACTGTGACTAACCAATGAGGGACAGAAACTGGGGATATAATGGGCAGGAATGAGTGCTGGTGTCTTCAGAGACCTAGTCCATCTGTTGAATCAAGCTGAGCTGACCCAAGCCAAACCCAGAAACCATCATGTCAAGGAAAGAGAGCTCCTGTAGAAAGAGCCATCACACTGAAGACCTTGCTTCTAGACCTGAGATTCAGATACCTGTGAGCTATGTGTACCACCTTCTACGGGAAGAGCAATACACCCCATTTATATGTTCCTCAACGACCCATTTCCTCCTTACCTTGCTTGATTGCCTTACTGACTACATCCTGGAGCTGGCAGGCTCCGAGGCCAGGACTCCACAAACCACCCCTCAACGTGGGAAGAAAGAAGATCATAACTGTGAGCCCCCTCGTGTCTTCAAGAATGTGTCCTTCTCTTTGTTTGATGAGATGCCTGGACCCAGGAGGAATGGCTGAAAAATGCGTTGAGGAGCCCAGCCTCAGAACATTGGCTGGAGTCACGTCTCACAGCTGAGGAAGCCCCAATTTTGTCATCAACAAATGTTATTAAAAGATGTAAATCCATTTCAATGGTTCTGACTCGGTTTCTGTCATGTTGAGTTGGAGGGGTTTGTGAGGCGCCTTCCCAGGCATGTGGGGTTCCCAGCAGGAAGCTGGTAACTAGGCGGGGAGCTGAAGACCATGACTGAGGTGGGGAAGGCTTTCTTCACAGTAGGGAATGTCTGAAGTCAGAAGGTGGCAGTGGTGGGAGTGGGGGGAGATGTTGGCACACCATTGGCATGAACTTAATGGGATAGGCTTAACATCATATGTTATTTATGTATCCTCTGCCTCATTCTAAAAAATGACTTATGGTGTGGATTATTTGCTAGTGTAGTGAATATAAATTTCTCTCCCCTTTTATAGACATTGACCTTGATATCTGAAACCTATGAGCTCACTTAAGCAGTTCTTAAGTGTTATTAATTATTAATGGACAGGCTTACTTATGAATGTATTACATTTATAATATGATCATCTATCCTAGTTTTGGATTAAAATCATAATCATTGGAGTGATATTTGATACAAGAGGAAAGAAATATCAGTGGCCAAATACATGCTTTAAGAGGTTTAAGAATAACCTATGTAGCCAGGTACAGTGGCAAATGCCTGTAATCCCAGAGGCTCTGGAGGCTGAGGCAGGAGGATCGTGAGTTCGAAACCAGCCTGGGAAATTGGTAAGGCCCTAAGCAATGTTAACAAGACCCTGTCTCAAAAAAGAAAAAGGGCTGGGGAATGACTCAGTGGTTAAGTGCCCCTGGGTTCAATCCCTAGTACCAAAAACAGAAAAGAAATAAGCTCTGTAATTCTGTTCTGAGTAGTGGACACAGAAGTGCATAATACTTTGTAAATTTCATGCTCTATACTAAGTTTTAATGTTGTGGTGTCAATGTTAATAATCTGACCCATTATCTGTGAGTGTTCATATTGAGGTTTTCACTGATCATTGAGTCCTCAAGAGACTGCTGGCCTTTCACAGAGGGCTGCTTAGAAGCTGCCAAGTTCACTTCTCAAAAAGAATCAGGAGACCCAGATTTCAGATCCCCGTGCACCACTTTCTGGCCACATAATCTTGGACATTCGTTTTTTCCTTCTGAGCAGCAGTTTGATCATATATGAGATGAGGCATAAGAGTCCCTCCATCTTGGGTTTTTCTAAATATTTCCACTCATTTGGGAGACATTCATTCTGAGACCTTCTGGTACCATCCCAAAGTCTGATTACTTCATTCCTTTGGGTGTGTGCTCAAGGATAGATAACTCTGCCTAGAGTGAGGAAGAATGGTAACCTGTTTCCCCTGAGATTAGGGAAGGGGAGAGACTAGGGGGGAGCAGAGACAGAGGAAGTAAAAGAAACATGTCCATTTTAAAAACAAGTGGTAGTGGCAGAGCAGCAAGGGCTATATTCGAAGCATAAAGTGAGTCACTTTTTATATTTCCCCATTGTCAATTTCTACATTCCATTTCTATGGAAAAATAGATGACAACATCTCTAAGCTGCTTCCTGCTAAAAGAAGGTGAAATTTGGGAAAGTAACTCAAAGTCCTTGCTGTCTATCAGGTGAGACAGGGAGAGACAGTTAAGGGTATTCAGCAACAGAGCAGTCCAGAGGTCCACAGTGGCAGATGGCAGATGGACAAAGCATACATAGGGCAGGGATCATGCTAAGATAACAATAAACAGGCCAACAAAGCATTACTTTTTTGTAAACACAAAAGCAATTGGTATTTTGGCTAGTCTCTGGAAATCAGGAAGACAGTAACTCATAAGCATATTAGTGAAAAACTATCAATTTACCAATATAGGAGGTTAGGAAGATTTGTAGGTCTATGAGGCCAAGCTCAAAATAACTCAGGACAAAATTGAGGCTCTTGATTTCTTTATGATCATTATTATTAGGCACTCCCACCATCTCTCCCACTGGAGAGATCACCAGTGGTGTCCTCTCCATAAGCCCAAATCAAGGGAAAGCTTCCTCACCATCTTCACTCCCAATTTGCAGAATGCACAAAAGGCCTAAACTTGGTGGTCTCATGCCTTCCCAAGGGCTGATTCCTGCTCTGACCTGATTTCTTCCTGAGAATAGGTTTCCTTATATTTTCAGAAGGGGCATTTGGCAGGGTGCTAGATTAGGATGATGACTACTCTGTCATGTGCCATGTGGAGCTGCAGCTCACAGAGAACAAGTGAATTACAACTCCAGTAGAGAACACGTGAAAGATAGCCTTTGAATCCCTCTTTAAAAGCCCCCTGTTCCTGCTGATGGGAAGAATCACAGCCTTTGGGACAGGAAACCCCTGTGTTTCTCCTTTGCTAGCAAAACAATAAACATTTTTTTCCTTTTTCTCAAAATAATAATAGTAATAACAATAAAGTCCAAGCTTTTGCATGATCTAAAAATCTTAGAATTTATCTTTAAAGTGACATACTATAAAACCTCTTTACTATGATTCAATTAATTAAACATGAATTTATATTTCTCATAATGTTTTATTTGTTTATTATGGTATTAGAGATTGAACCCAGGGACACATTGCCACTGAGTTAGATCTCCAGTCCTTCTTATTTTTTTGAGACAGAGTTTCACTAAGTTTCACTAAATTGCTGGCCTTATGATCTTTCTGCCTTTGCCATCAACTCAGGTCGCTGGATTACAGATGTGCATCACCACACCCAGCATCCCATAATCTTAAAGATCAAAAGGATGTAATGTCAATTAAGTGATTAGCAGAATTCATAATTTTGGAAAAAACACACCTAAATAGCATAAAAATGTATGGTTTTATTAGACCTAGTGCTGATAAATAAGAGAAGATATAGGTTTTTTCATTAAACCTAAACTATCTTGTTTATCAAAGACTTACATAAATTATGTGCATTTGAATTTAGACGGTTGTGAGCTGGTTTCTGAAAGAATATATATTGTTTAAATCTATCAAGTTTAAAGTTATTATAGTTCAATTTTCTTATTTCAGTGAATTTTTGAAATATTTAATTTATATAACCAATTATATATCTACATATGCAAATTAGAACAGAGCTTCATGAATTTGAGAAACTTAATAATCTGTCAAAACCATCCAGAGGTAGGAAAATTTAAAATATATAATCAGAGGTATCAAAGTGCATAAATGCATTCTACTGTCATGTATAACTAATTAAAACAAATAAAAACATTTAAAAAATATATATTTCTGAATGGCAGAGACATGGAGGCACAGAGAAATAGAGCTTATAGCTTCAGCTCTGCAATTCAATTATGGGTCAAATGGAAAAAGCAACAGCAAAATTTCCTGGTCCAGATACAAAAAAAAATTGTTCTCCAAGAGGGTATGCATTTCTTAATTGATCTGACCTTAAAATAGACAAATAACAAAACTGACAAACCAAATACACTGTGTGTCTCACCCAGCAAAGACTAGATTTCTATAAATCATTTACAGAGCTCTCCAGATGGTCAGAACCTAAAACCAGATTTCCAACCATTTTGTCAATGAGGAGAATAACTTATTAGCCATTTGAGACCAAAAACTAGACATATAAATGAGTAGGAAGGAAAATGAAATAAAAAATTCAACATTGAAATTATACCTAGAAAAAACAGAATTCACAGAGTTCTGTTGTGCTTTGGATACACCTAGAACAGGCAAGAAAAGACACTCTTGGGCCTTACTGAGACTGAGGATACATCTCTGTTACTAAAGTTTCTAGGTGAATCCACTGGGAATATCAGTAGGCCTCAAATACAGTTTAAAAGGTATTTTCAAACAGAGTAAAATCATGGTACTCATGCAGATATGAAATGGAAATATTCTGAAAGACTCTTCTTAACTCATGAGGGAATTGACAGATATTATAAGCAGTTCAAAAAAGAATCCAAAAAACAGACATTGAAATGTTTGTCATGAGGGATAGAGCTCAGTTGGTAGAATGCTTGCCCCACATGCCCAGGCCCTGGGTTCAATTCCCAGCATCAAAAAAAAAAAAAAAAAAAGAGTTCAGATGGAGAAATGTTTATCATGAATATTTAAGTAACTGTATAAATGGAGGCAAAATTGTTTTTATTACAACATGAGAGGGTAGATAGACCTCTCTCAGACAACATGTTCAACATGTCTATCAGTGACCCAGATTTCAAAAGGGATGGGAAAAAGAATAAAGACCAAGTAAGGGTAGAATAATCAGAAAACCTAGTACAGTGTGCTCTAGGTAGAGTAATGTTTTCATTGAAACATGGATTTGTACTAGAATGTTAAAGCCCAGTAGAAAGTTAGAATTCCCACAAGAAGAGAGTCTCCTAAGGCCACTAACTTCCTATTATGGGCATTTGTAGACTGAGGCCTGATCAGGGCCCAGTGGACACCAGTGATATCATAAAAGTGGAGAGTGTCACAAAGACAGGTTCTGACCAATGAGGGACTGGAACACACTGATATAGTGAGCAGGACTAAGCTTTGATGTTTCAAGAGGCCCCGGCCACTGGAGAAATCAAGCAGAGCCTGTGGTAGCAGAAGCCATCAAGCATCATGGCTGGAAAAAAATACCGTCAGAACTACAGGACTAAGAAGCAGACCATCTCCAGATCCACCAGAACAGAGCTGCAGTTCCCTGTGAGCCGCGTGGACCGCCTCCTGAGACAAGGTCACTATGCCCAGCGTCTAAGCTTTTTTACACCTGTTTTCCTGGCTGGTGTCCTTGAGTACCTAACAGCTAACATCCTGGATCTGGCAGCTCAGGAGGCCGAGAGTAACCGCAGGGCACACATCACCCCAGATCATGTGAAGAAGGTGCTGGAGAAGAACCCGCAGCTCTGCCGCCTCTTCAAGGCTAACACCAAATCCCTGGGAACTGACAAGGCCTACAAGAATAAGAAGTAATGGTGCCTGGGTCTCCAGCCTTGGTGGGACTTCCATCAAATGTCTCACCCAGCTCCAAAATCCCATAGAGGAGGGAGCCTGTGCTGTTGTCATCATCATTAAAGCGTTTAAGTCAAAGCTTGTGGATGTGACTCCTCTCAGTTTCTG